TTCTCTGAATTATTCTAACAACCAATCAGATCAACTCTATGCAGCTTAAACTCATTGCCGTTGAGCCCATTCTGACTCACAGTGGCCTTCTGGGATCCATGTAAAATCATGAAAGTATATTTATGAAGGGGGTGTAGAAAGGGGGAATGGATCACAGGGAGCTACATATAACCTCCTCTCTGGGGGACGGGCAGCAGAGGGGTGGGTGAAGGGAGACGCCAGACAGTGTAATATAAGATACAATAATAATTTATAAATTATCAAGGGTGCATAGGGGAGAGGGGAGGAGGAAGGGAAGGGGAGGAGGAAAAAAAGGAAAATGAACTGATTCCGGGAACCCAAGAGGCAAGCGAATTTTGGGAATAATGAGGGCAACAAATGTATAGATGTGCTTTACACAATTGATCTATGTATTGTGATGAATTGTATGAGCCCCAATAAATTGATTTAAAAAAAGTATATTTATGATATAATTTGGTTATACCCTCAAATCCTAACTCCTTAGTAAGGGATGACAAGTCATTTTCTCTCCTTTCACAGAAGGACCTGGTTATTTGCAGAGCACCAGCAATCAGTAGCGGAGCTGGAAAAGGGCTGTGACTTTGGTCTCCCTAGGGAGGCTTCCTCTCCCTCTGCCACACTGCCAGTCTTTGAAAAGAGGTCCGGGACTTGTGGCCCAGGGGTTGCAGAAATCCATTTCTTGGTTTTCAGTCTGGCCCCTTCATAACAGCTACTCATATGTTTTAATCGCCTTTTAAGAAAAACCCTGTGGGGCTATTTTTAAAACAGTGTCGATATCGATATATGTACTTCAGGCACACTATTCAATAAGCAAACATTTAAAAGTTAAAATATTGTTTCAGGACCAACAGACTTTCAACAACACAAAAAAGACTCCTTCCTTGCCCCACCTAAAGCCCAGTTCCCAAGTCCTCAACAGCCCCATGAGCCTCACATTCAGCAATTACCATATATACTCATGTATAAGCTGAGTTTTTCAGCACATTTTTTTATGCTGAAAAAGCCCCCTTTGTCTTATACTCGAATGAAGGTCGCCACTTGTTCTCCGGTGCAGTGTGGGTGTTCTCCGATCTCTCCCACTCATCTCGGGGCGCCTTCAGCCTCTGTGAGTGATCAGATGACTGCTGATATCATTGCTCTTCTTTCCTCCTGCACGCCGGCAGTCTCTGTGTTGTCCATGCCATACTGGGCAAGAACCTGCCTGCTGCTGTGTGCCGGTAACTGGGGCACACCGCATCCTTGTCAGATGAATGTTGGATGTGGCGCTCTTCTTCCACTCTTCTCCAGGGCTGTGACCAATGACGTAGCCTTTACAGTCTTACCCGTGCTTGGTCACGCCCCCTTGCTCCTCCCAAGCATTGCTGAATACAAGTACCTGTATATCTCTGCTCCTGTATATACAGTACATTTATTTATAGTACTTAGTCTGCTATATTTTATTTTTTAGTTTCTTATTAACCCCTATCTGGACCCAGTGTTGAGTATGCTGAAATGTGTCTTCCCCCACAACTGTTTTGTTTCTCTGGCCTTAATAATTGGCTCACTTTCTTTGTTCTTTTCATCTGCTGAGTTATATTTGGACCTTCTGCAAATTCTCCATACATTCTCCAACTCCTTGAAAAACCTTTCAAACACCGATTTTATCGCTTGCTGTTGTTGATGAGCATGTGCCCAGAAGAACCTATGCCAATTCAACAAGGTCTGCATGTGGATTTTAGTGAGGTTGGCCCCATTCTTCAAGCCGTCACTGTTTTCATCCTACTGTTCTGAGCCGTTCTCCCCACTTTAAGAGACGTACTGCTCTCTAAGGTGCCTGTCTTTAAGTTGCTGCTGTCAGTTCACCCGCATAGAGTTCTTGAGAGAGCACAATGGTCAAGGAGGGTTCTCTTTGCTCAGTAAGCTGCACTCTTGTTTGATTTTATGACAACGTGAGGAAAGGCTTTTAGTTCAAGGTTTAAAGATGATCGAAGTCAATATCAGGGATTCACCCAGTTTCTGTGACTAGAAATTCTGGATTTTATGAGAATTTGAAATTTGGTTTTATATCTTCCCCCCCTTTTAATCAAGATTCTTCTATAAAAAATGCATTAAAGCACTCAGTCATTGTAGCAGGGCATTCTTCAGTTGTGTTGTCTTATGGTAAAAGAAGACATCAACTCAGAGAGGCCAGTAGCCACTCATTCCATTTCCCTTTCGTATTCCGGACTCTCTGGAATTCTCTGTTGCTGCAGGTGAATAGGGCCCACTTATTATATCTTCAAAACTTTCTTTTTTTTGCTTGCAAGCTCTTAAGAGACTTCAATTGTTATGCAACAAACTAGAAGATAGAATGGAAGTGCTGAATGAATTATCACAATATTAGGTCAATGAATTGGGATTGCTCGTAAAACTAACTCTAAACCCCAAATCCAGAAACTAAATCCCAGACGATGTTTGGTGGTAAATTAGCAGCCTCACCAACTACTACTATCTTCTTTTTTTCCTTTTTGTTAAGTTATAAATATACCTCTGACACAATTTTTGCTAACTCTAATTTTTTCAATTGTATTATGTATTAAGAGCCAAAACCTATCAAATTAAGTCTGGGTTTTATGTTGTTGGTATTTATTCCTAGAGCTCTTTTTCTTGAACACCTGTATCTCCCTTTTCCCATCTTGTGACTGGCTTCTACACATTTACACCAGGGACTTTCTCCAATGTGCTCTTTAGAGCACATTCTCTTTTATGCTTTTCATTTCAACATTTTTTTCTTTCTTGGCTCATACTCAGTCTTCCTCAGCACACTGTTGTTAAAGACAAAGAGATGCGTATCATCTGAGATCATGTATGTCAGACAAATCTTGATGTTCTTGTTTTGGTTTTGTTTTCGGTTGAATTGACTCTGACTCATGTAGCCTTTATGAGTAACAGAATGGGATGTGAGCAGGTTCGGTGCCATCTTTAGTATTGTTGATGAATGAGCTTGAGGGCTTAGTTGTAGCTGCCACATCAATCCATCACATGGAGTGAGGATGTCCCTCATTTCCCTTGACTCTCTACTAAATGTGATTGTACATATACAGATGCATACCATGATACTCATACGATACTCTCTAGACTTGTGTGTTTGTGCTGTACAAGACTCTAGGTTTACCATACATTTGGATTAGAATTTTATAAGTATAGTTTCATTATTTACTAAATTTGAATGTTGTTTTGGATAAATAGGATACTCTTCTCACTCCCAATAAGTTTGTATGCGATCTAACTTTTTTCTTTTTATGAACGTATCTGTAGCTTTCCTCTTTAACCCATTCCTGGTCCTTTGGAACTTTGGTCTGTCTCATCAGCGTGCCATGTGGCAGGGTTTTGTTTCCTGTGTTCTGTCAGACATTCCACAATGCCTTTCAGACTGACTTGTCAAGTCTTCCAGTTTTGTAAGGTTTTATTGTAGGGTGGGAAACGTTACTGCTTTCTATTTTTTTTCTGATAGCTCAGTCTTTCCCCTCAGTAGGCTGTGTCAGACTGTAAATTCAACTTTCAATTCTTCTCCTTTTCCCCCCTGGTTTTCTATGACTTTTGTCTTCCCCCCATTAATTTTTGGGACTTTTAATTTAGCTTCCTGCTCAACTGTGGAATATTTAATTTTTGCAATCAGATTATAATCGACATTTTCCCCCTTAAATTCTTATTATTTCTATATTTATCCCCTGTTCATTTAATGAGTACAATTTCTTCTCTTAAATTACTAGGGCATTTACAAGAGTATTGGATAATATTTCTGCTATATACATTATTATTGTTTACTTTAGGTGCTGTTATCCTTTTGTTGGTATTGTCCAATATTTTTTATATTGTCCAATCTTTTTAATGTTGGAGCGTTTCTTTGCTGTTTGATGGTCTTGAATTGCCAGTTTAAATTAAAAATGAAATCTTCAAAAGTTGATTGCAAGTTGTCAATTTCAGTGCATGAGTGGGGCTTGTTAAGTGGTAGAATCATAATTAAGGGATTGATAAAGCATTCAACTGCTGTTTTCTCTAGGACCTAGCTATTCGTTCTCTCTAGAGACAGGATATGGCCTGCTTACTATTGATTGTGGACTTGAATAAAGGACCAAGTCTTGCCAGTCTCTATAGTGCTCTATAGGTCTGTTCCTACAGCCCCAGAGAATAAAGTGCACACGATTCTAAGGACAGAGGACTCGTTTTACTGGATAATATTAGGAATCTGTGGACTCACGGAGATTTGTGATTTTTCATTCCATCCCGTACTTTCAAGACATCTTTAGGTGCCACTGGGTTGGTACCAATTCATAGCAAGCCTGTGTGCATCAAACTGAAACACTGCCAGGTCCAGTCCAGTACGATCCTCACACCTTTTATGTTTGAGCCCAGAGTAGCAGCCACTATATTGATCCATATAATTGAGATCTTCCTCTTTAATGCTGACTCTCTACCAAGCATGAGATCTTTTTAAAGGACATGATAACATGTGGAAAGCTTATGAGACAAAGGCATTCTATGAAACATCAATTTCCAGGCTTCCTGGAATTTAGGTATGAAAATACCCTTGCTTTTTATTTGTACACTTTTAGTATTTAAGTTTCAGCCTTTTCCTTATGTTTGGTCACTACACAACTTTCTCTCATGTATAATTTACAAATATTCGTTGACATGTCCTATCGACTCTTGTCCTGTGTTTTGTCATTTTAGGGCTTAACACATTTTTAAATAGTTGCTTATTATTTTAGTGGTATTTTTGCAAGGGAGTGACAATAATGAGAATAATGAATTTAACCAGTCAAATCCATTATGTGTTTTGTTCAAATCAATCCAGTAGAACTGCTGTCAGGCAGTAAAAGATTTTCCTTGCAGGGTGCAATCCCTAACGTGTCTCGCCTCTCTGTCATATTCACAGTTAGGTTTGAGCCACTTCTTGGGCTCTGGATCCTCCGGGTCTTTCTCCAGTGTTTTAATCTGCATCATCTATTATTTTACAGAGTATCAAAGTAAGCTGGCTGCCTCCTCCATCAGAAACACAAAATGGATTTATTACAGGCTATAAAATTCGACACAGAAAAACGACCCGCAGGGGTGAGATGGAAACACTGGAGCCAAACAACCTCTGGTACCTGTTCACAGGTCAGTGTTCACATGGTGGAACCTTGCACGGTTTTGATGAATTAAGTGCTTTAGGAATAAAATATACTCTCACTTCAAGGGAACATTGATTTTTCCCCCCTTCCTGGCAGGTGACATTTATTGGCCTGAACAAGAATAACCTTTACATGTTCAACTTTATATTCTCTATAATGCTTATATTACATATGTTGCTTCTTGGATTATCATCCTAAGAAATGGATCATAGGCTTTTTGTGCAGCCTGAGTGCCATCCGCATTCGTTTGGTAGCACTGCTGAGTCAGCAGGGACCTCCTAGTAGCTAATCATTTTAAAATGCCATCTTATACAACCTTCCAAGGGTTAGTCACGGGGTTCTCTCACTCCCCTCACTCTTTACAGGGTTAGGGGTGGGGTTAGAAATTTGGGAGAAGGATGGATTGGCCAATAAATAGAGAGATTAGTCTACTTCTCCAAACTATAACATTTATAGTAGTCACTTTACTGGTGGAACTCATAGTAGATAAAAGTGCCATGGAAAATTTGAGAATTCTCTCTTTAAATGCAAAATGGCATATCACATATTTCTTTAAGTGTTGAAGACCTTAATAGATAGCACTTCACATTTCTAGAAATGAGTGATTGGGTTAAGTAAATCAATTTTGGAGATGCTAGTCCAGAAAAGTCAAGGAAACAGGAAGGTTAGGAATCTAATCATCCTGGGAAGATGAGGAATCTAATCATCCTGGATTATTTGGGCAGACTGCAACTGTGGAACAAAAAGAGAGTTTACTGGGCCATGTGGGGGTAAGAGGCCACATTAACTGCTGCGTCTTACCAAGTCCAGGGCTGAATAGTAAGTCTGAGCAGTTTCTCTTTGGTCTGTCATTGGTCAAAGTCCACCCACAAGTTGTGGATTACTCTGTTCTACTTCCATGCAAGCCAGAGCTCGTAGTGAGGATACAGACCTGGAGTGCTCCCCCTGTTAATCAGCACGTCATATAGTGGTTCTTTGGGCTAGCATAGCAGCGATGCTCCAGGGTATAGATAGCCCTGGGCATAGTATGAGCCCGGAGGCAATGGGTTCAGGAGGCAAAGCATGCAACAGTGGCCAAATGGGTTGGCGGTGGGATTAGGCAATTCTAAGAGAGCTCAACTGGGTCGTGGTAACATTCAAACTATAAATAAGACAGTTTACAGCTGATGGATCAAGTAAGCTAATATTGCAAATGAGGGAAGGTACATAAATACAAGGGGGGTTCAAAACATTCCTGGAAAATTGAATGAAGAGCCAATGGAACGTTCCCACACATTTTGGGATGACCCTTACACTCCTTGGATCCCCTATTTCTCTACAGCAGGTACTAGGTAGATGCCCTTTGAAATCATAGCACGCATGTGTAGACACACATGCACAAACACCCATGCGGGTATACACACACAATGTGCATGCATACATTGTAAGCTTCTTGTTCAGCCAACCCTCTGAAGTGTCATACTGGCCTAGTTATTCTGCCTCCTTCGGCCAAATCACGAGTAGAAAATGTTAGCATGCTATTGGAGGTGCGTTCCGGCTAGATGATCTGCAATCACATTACCTGCTTTGCAACAGAAGAAAATAACCTGAACATGTATTGAAGAGCAAGTACGGAGAAGCTATGAGATTCTCCCTCCTCATCTTAAAAAGTTAAGAGAAGTCAAGACTGTTTCTCTTTCTGTATGAAATAGTGAGAAGACCCAAACATTTCTCAAATTAAATATGTATACTCATTAGGCTAGTGTCATAACATGTAATTTGCCTTGAGAGAAATCATCATTGTTGGAAAATATGCATGAAAAGGTTTTTGTATAGTGCCTAAGACTGAAGATTAAACGAGAGCCCCATGGGGTCACGTGGGGGTCTTGTGTGTCAGAGCAGAGCTGTGCTCAAGGAGGTTTCCAGTCACCAGTTCGGGGGAAAGCAGGGCATCAGGCCTTTCTTCCGAGGCACCGCATGCTGCACAGGTGTCATGTCTCCCGCACCCTCCAGGGGCTTCTTTACTCCTTAGGAAGCTGGATAAGTGAAAATAACCTTGGGATACCACATCTGTTTGTAGAGTGGTAGATTAGGATGGTCTCAAAGCCTTGTTTAACCAAACCTTCTTCTTCAACAGATATAGGGAGTTGAAGCCTGAAATGTTTCCTATTGTTTTTCCAATGAATGAAAAAGTTTAAAATTATAGGTACTTACAGCACAGAATTGAAATGACCAATAAACATGAAAAAATGTCCCATCTCATTAGTAATTAGGAAAACATGAAAATTAAAATAAAATGAATTAACATGTTCCTTGGATTAAAGTAATCAAAGTAAGAGGGAATGCTGATATTCCATGCTGGAAAGCCAATGAGAAAGATAAAATCGTGTGGGGCTGCTTGTGGGGCAGAAACTTCCTAGAATCTCTCTGTGGAACTGCTTAGTATTAGGAGTTATTTAGGTACAAATAAATGGAATTAACCTATTCCACTCACTCTTCATAATCCTAGATTTTGACTCTACAAAGTTTTGGCCTATTCCCTCTAACACAAGTCAAATCATAAGGACAAATAATAACAAAATTATATAGACTGTCAAGTGTACCTTTTCCCTACCAACGACTCTGTGTTAGTCTTCCTAGTTCCATCCCTATAAATTACTGCAAACTTGGTAGCTTAAAATGCATCCTCTTGTTCAAAGGTCGGGAATGTTGGTTCCTTCAAGAGGCTTGAAAGGAGAAATAACCCAGATCTCTGGCCCAGAGTCTTGGTTGCCGGAAATCCTTGACATTCTTTGGCTTGACGCTGCTTCACCCCAATCTCTGCCTCCAGGTGTCCATGATTTCTTCTCTGTGTGTCTCTGGATCTTCTTATAAGGCCAGCAGTCACTGGATGTAAGACCGATCCTGCAGCCAGGATGATTTCCTCTGGAGGATCCTTAACTAATGCATCTAACAAGGCTTTATTTCCAAATCAGATAACAGCCTGAGGGCTTCATGGGCAAGATATAGGTTGTGAGTGGGATGATTCAATCCACACCTTTATTATTGTTTTCTCAGAAGGATAATAATTTTAATTGTACTCTCATAGATTTTATTTGATAGCAAATCATTCCATTAGATATATATATTTCCTCTAAGTTATATGTGGCAATTTGAGCTGCTAAGCAGTATGGGCTAAACCATCACTACTCGGGTTTGATCTTCCAGCTAAAATCAAAGAAATTAGGTGACTCAATTAGCTATTTTCAGGGAAATATTCACCAATGCCCATCCCTAGCTGCCTGGACTTAGAGAAATCTACATTCCAAGTCTAGAGTCATCATTCATGTAGGTACTTCTTCCTGCATTTATAAAAATGCATATCTGAGCAGTTACATTATTTCTATACCTGAAAAAAAAAATAGATGCATGCAAGTCTTTTCTCTTTTTTCCCACAAATGGAAAAATATAGCCCAGCATAGAAATAGCCTCAAATTCATAAATAGTGAAAAGCAAGTTTTGCAAAGCCTCTCCACTGCTCTGTGGCTTGGATTTGATATTGCCTGCTGCATAGCTGGACATGGTGGAAATATCGTCAGTGCTCCAAAGCCTCCAGGAACTAGCAAGTAGAGCTCTACAGTAGTAAAATATGGATGTGATTTTGACTTGTCCCCAAGATATGTCTAATAACATATACACTTGGCAGTAAGCAAAAGTAATTGATTTTCCATATGAATTTGCAGCACTGAAAAATGTACAGGATTTGACACCCTCTGTTTTCAATGTCTGTAAGATACATAGGTGTATTGATTTGGTTTTTAGAAAATTGGAAATGCCAGAATGCTTCATTTGGATGATTTAAATATTCAGGTGTAGAGACTCAAACTTTTACTTTTTTTTTTTGACAGTCTTCTATTTGTCAGACAGGTGTTTGGTGTTCTGTGTGGGTTTTTTTACTAGGATAATGAGACATCTGCAAGAACAAAGTAATTCAGAATTATAACAAGGATTTTAAAGCCACTGCTCTCGTTTTATTGTGGGAAACCATGTCAGCTAAATTGTAAAGTGCTGTTTTTAATTTTTAAGTGCTCTTCAGAGAAGATTGTTTGGAAATGAATGTAAGCATTTTTTTGGGTATTTCATAGCCAATATAGAATAAGTATACTGATAAACATGCATTGGTATTTTATGGAGTAAAAGATTGAAACAATAACATAGCAATTTTAAAAGAAGGTTGACATTAGGGGGAGAAAATGAAATTATACTGTTAAATAATGGAATATTTCTTACCATATGTTGTAAGAGATTAGAAATAGAAAAGAAGAATTACAAAGTTCGAAGGCTCTTCATAGTGGGAATAAAAGGAGACAGGATAATCTGCTCTCAAAAATAAGATTTTTATTATAGCTAGGAAAACCATTGCTACTTGTTCCATACTCCTTTGAGAATAAAATTATACTTAGAAGCAGTTACAAAGCATACATACACACACACACAAAATGCTATTGAATTATATGGTCCTTGGTGACTGAGATCTGCATGGTCAGTAGTTCAAAACCAACAGCAGCCTGCTTCATGGAGAGACTGCACTTTCTCCTCCTGAAAACAGTTCCAATCTTAGCAACCCACAGTTGCTATGAGTCAGCACATGACTTGATGACAGTTGAGTTTGGAGTTTCGGTTGACAAACACTAGGAATGACAGTGTAACATAGTAGGAATGAGAGTTTTATAGCAAACATAGGAAGGACACTTCACCCATGTCCCTGCACCTCCCCTTTTCTTGCCACAGCTGTAACTGAGGTCTGGAGAGTGCACTTGCTATGAGCCCCCACTATGCAGGGGGAGGCTTGCAAGTTGATTATAGGGGTCCTGATGCCTAGTTAGGTAGGTGATCTTGCTTCCACATCATGGTTTCTCCCTGAGTTTATTTGATTGTGAATGATGATGGCTATTGCAAGCACTCCCCAGGTAATGAACGAGATGTGTTCCAAAGAGCTTTAAGTCGAGTTTGTAAGTAAGTTGGAACAGGTGCGTACAGTTTTTATCTAACCTTATTTTAGTTCAAGAAGGGCTTGAAGCATTTTCAGTTATTTAAAACCTGCACGTGTAGCAAGGGAAGGTAATTACAATGAAAAAAACACACACACATTGTAACTAGAGGTAGGTTCAATCCTTTCAAAGTGAAATTTTCACATCATAATAAAAGGCAAGGATGTGTTATCCATACATAAGTTAGCTATTCATAACCCATAACACCGTCTGTCTGAGTGTGTGAAAGATAATTATATTGAGCATCATATTAACAGATGTAATAATAACAGTAAATATCCATAATGTGTTGAGATTTAACCCATCAGTCACTATTCTAAAATCTTTATGTATGATTTCTAATTTAATCTTTATTGCAATTTATTTAGATATTCCCACTTTATTGATTTGAAAACTGACACAAAGAAAGAGGTAGGGCTTGTAAAGTCACAAAGTCACACAACTATTAAATGGTGGACCAAAAAGCCAAGCTTAATTTGACATGAATTCAAAAGCGCCATATCTAAAACCCTTACACCAAAGGTCATGTGTTGCTGGACCTGGGCCATGAATTTATGATTGTGTGAATGTATAAGAGGATATGGCAATGTGAAAAAAATGGAAGGAGAAATTCATTAGATAATGCAAAATTGAAGACCATTTTTCTACAAGAGCTAAATAACTCCAAACCAATCACACACACCCAGTCATCAAATGAATCACAACCCATAGTGACCCTGTAGGACAGAGTCGAACTTCCTCACAGGATTTCTAAAGATCTTCTAATATCATCTATCAGGGTCTAGCTCAGGAAACTGCTCTTTCTTGGCCATTGTTAGGATAGCTCTTGAAGATACCTGTTCTTCCCAACACAGTAGCATGAATGATTTCACTGTATTTAAACTGAATGTTGGATGTTATCGGTCTCTTTATGGGGCTCCCTGTTGAACAATATGAGTAGCAACTCAATCCTGCCTGCCTAATCTTCTGTGTTCAGTCCTGGGTGTATCATACACACACGTTTTGTACACATTTATAGTGCTTTAAAGTGTCTGTTGCTGTCCTTCTTGGGTCCCAAGATTGGGGTGTGTGTGTGTGTGTGTGTGTGTGTGTGTGTGTGTGTGTATATGTGTGTGTGTGGTGGGGGAGGGTACCTTTGAGGAGCACAAGAGGGTCTATGGTGTATCTATAGACCACAGGATAGAAGCTGGAGTCTGCACCCTAGGGTAGTCCAGCCCCTGCTTACCCCAGCTCACAGAACTCTTACTTAATTTCTCTAAGTCTTTTATTCTTACCTAAGATGGGAGTCATAATATAGTTGCTGCCTCCATCACAGAGTGTTGGAAAATCAAGTGAGAAAATTATCTGTGAGAAATACACTGTAAATTTGTTAATCAACTTTGTTAATGAAAGGTTTGAGTCTATAAATTATGCTTGTAAGCAGTTTGCCACTTTATAGTCACAGGAGCACTCCCAAAATTACCCAAACCCACTGTTGTGCCGTCGATACTAACTCATGTACTAACCCTATGGAACAGGATCGAACTGTCCCTGCGAGTTTCTGAGACTGTGACGTTTCACAGGAGGAGAAAACATCATGTTTCTCCTGTGGAGAAACCAAACCAACAGCCAATAAGCTGATTCTCACTCATAACAACACTGTGGGGCAAAGTAGAGCTGTTCCACTCGGTTTTAAAGTCTGTAAATCTTAACAGAGGAGATTGTCACAGCTTTCCCCCATGGTGCTGTTGGTTGGAATACTGACCTTTAGATGAACAGGTAAACACTAACCCGCTCTGCCGCCACGGGTCCTTGAACCAGAACCAGGAGGCAGTAAAGAACTAGAAATGGATTGTGAAGATTTTGCTTATGTGATTGTGGGCCTAACTCGCCAAGTCTGGAGTCAATAAGGATGACCATTAGAAAGAGTAGCCAAGAATAAATGTTCTCCTTCAGGAAATCTTTACTCTCCTTTTAAGACCTTTCAACTGATTGACCCTGGCATTTCCAGATTAGATAGGATCGTTTACCTTACTTAAAGCCACCTGATTGTGGATTTTAATCCCATATACAAAATAACATGCGAGCAACACCTAGATCAGTGTTTGATGGAATAATTGAGGGCTATGGTCAAACCAAGATAATTCATAGACTTACCACCACCGATGGTATTTCCAATCACTTGATAGATGCAGTACAACTATTGTCATACTAGATTCTTTATTATGCTAGCAAATGAAATTAAATCTCTGCTTAATATCATTGATGAATTAAAACTCAAATCCTTTCAAGAAAAAAAAATGACTATGAAAGTTATGGGCTGAGCTCTGTAAACAAGCTTTCTTGCTGGGGCTCTCTCCCTAGTAACATTTTAATCCCCCAGAGAGCTCTGCAGTACTGCCTAAGAAAGTAACAGTGGCCATAAAAGGGACAGCGTGTTAGCAAAGGTCAGATCAGTGGCATGTGAACTCAATGACCAGGTCAGGCAAATGGTAGCCTATTTGACATAACAAAACCTTTTGGTTCAAAAGTATCACCTCTTGATGATGTTGGGGAGTACACCTTTCACCTTTCTTTTCTCTGTGTTAAACCCTGATTTGTCAGATCAGCCTTATTAGAGCTTTCAAAAGTTCCTCTGTGTGACCCCTTTCTATGTTTCAGGCACAGTAGCAGTGTCTATAGATAAAATAATGAAAATGCCGATAATAATAAAACCAACAGCACCCCCGGCAGTATTCTCAGTCCATATTTCATAGAGATTCAAGTATGAAATTAAGAGACTTCTTAACTAGACAGCATAATATGTTGTAGATAGCTTTGTAAGTGCAGATATATGTATCAAAGCGAAGCCAACTGCCACTTAACATGAACAGATCCTGTCTACTCACCACTGTGCGCCACTTCCTATTGGTAGTGGATTAGAGTTTCCCTAAACACCAAGTTTTGCTTATCTTGCTATGCAAACAAACACACACATTAATTCTTACAAATATGTAGCTTTATATAAAATAAATGTATCATTTCCCAATCACTTATTTTCTTTATTAGGATTTTTAAGGCCATAAACAATTGTGCCATTTCAATTTAATGGAAAAACAGAAATATCTTTTATTTTTATTTTCATCAGGGTTTTACTTATTTACTTATTTTCATTTGTTTTATCATAATTTGTCATGTTAAGGAGCTCCTTGGAGCTTTAGGTAAGAGGAAAGCCATTTATATCAACATTTTACACACTTTTGTGTAGTGATCCACAGGGGTGTTTAGTCTACACTACCTAAACTATCTATACTCTCTTAAATAAGTTGCAAGTTTATCACTGTGTACAATAGCATGTGTCCAGATTACCAAGGACATTAGTTTACCTTATGCTCTTGTGGGGAAGCTACTGCAAATGAAAGTATGCTTTGTGATGACTTTGAGAGAGAAAAGCCCCGTATTTTCTTCCAAAGTGCAATAGCTTTAGATTCTTCTTTCTTGGCCCAAACAAAACATAATCACTGACCTTGAATAAATGATGGAGGCATAAATTTTCAGATTCAGTGGTCTTGATTTATAGGCAGGTCTCTTCTGGACTGTGAGGAAAAATGATCCTTGCTATTTTTGATTATTTCTTCATCGTTCATATTTTATATTCTGCATCTGCCCCGAAGCTATTTTCAAGGATACATTAAAAAAACTGGAAAAAATAAATGAGAATATATGAAAACTAATTTGATTTCTTGCTATGATATCCCTGCCCTTTTGGCCAAAATAACAATAATTACCACAACAATAACAAACAACATAAAGAATGTCTTCTATTGTTAAATTTTAATAAAATGTTTGAAAGCAGCTAAACATCTTATGTTCAAGTAACTTTTTTGGCCTCTGAAACATTTCTTCACAGGCTTGGAGAAAGGAAGTCAGTACAGTTTCCAAGTGTCAGCCATGACAGTCAACGGCACGGGACCACCTTCCAACTGGTACACAGCGGAGACCCCTGAAAATGATCTTGATGGTAAGACCCATCCCCAATCTGTACTATTATGAATTTTTGGTATTTGAGCTTCCAACCTTTCAAAAAAAACCAGTTGATGAACACCAACATTGGAGGCATTTATTGTTCTTTTACCTTCAGAAGAGGGGGAAACAAAGACTTAATGATTACAGTCTTGGGGCTTGTTGGGTGTGGTAAGTGAATTCCAACTCTTGGGAATCCTCTGTACTGCAGGTGGACACTCTTCCCAGGACTCCTGGCCCCTCCTCCCAGTCTTTGCTAGGCAGGGACCAACTGTTGCAGCCATGGCGTCAATTTAGCCCAGTGGTTCTCAACCTTCCCAATGCCGTGACCCTTTCAGACAGTTCCTCATGTGGTGGTGACCCCCAACCATAAAATTATTGTCATTGCTATTACATCACTGTCATTTTGCTACTGTAATGAATCGGGCAACCCCCGTGAAAGGGTCATTCTAACCCCAAAGGGGTCACGACCCACAGGTTAAGAACTGCTACTCTACCTCATTGAAGGTCTTCTTCCATTTCCTGACCCTGTGCTCTACCAAGCATGATGTCTTTTGCCAGAGATTGGCTCCTCCAGATAATATGCCCCAAACACATGAGATTTCATCTTCTGATACTCAACTCTAAAGAGCATGGTGGCTGGAGTGCTTCCCAGCCAGATTGGTTTCGTCTTCTGGCTTATGCTTCACCATACCATCATTTAAAGACATCAATTCTCGTTTGGTCTTCCTTCTTTATTGTCCAGTTTGGGATAATTGTGAGGTGATGAAAAGTACCATAGCCTGGGCCAGCTGCATTTTAGTCTTTGTGCTATACCAGTTTAAGGCCGTCGTTGGCAGCAGATGTTCCCAGTGCAGTACATCACTTGCTATCTCGATGATTGTTTCCATGAAAATAGATTGGGATCCAAATAAAAATGAAATTCTTCCCCACTTCAATATTGACTCAGTTTGCGTTGATGTGGCTTACTGGTCTAGCTGTGAGAATTTTAGTTTTATTAATACAGAGATGGAATCTAGACGAAAGGCTTTGATCATTACCAGTGAGTGCTTCAAGTTTCCCCTGCTGTCAGAAAGCAAGGTAGTATCACCTGGATATTGCAGATCGTTCATGAATTTTCCTCCAAACGTGATGCTACATTCTTCACATAGTCCACCTACTTGGATTGTTTGCTCAGCAAACAGATTGAATAGGCATAAAGTATACAACCCCAGTGCACAACTTTCCTCATTTTAAGCCAGGTTTGCTGTAGTTCTCTAAACAACTGCTTTTTGATGTACATACAGTTTCCACAGGAGTGCAATGAATTGTTCTGTCATTCACACTCTTCTTACAGTGCTCATACTTCATTATGACCCACATAGTCAAATACCTTTACATAGTCAATCAAACCCAAGGAAACGTTCTGGTACCCGTTTCAATAACGCCATCGCACTAGCCATTCTTTG